GTGGTGATGACTAGCTGCCTTCCCTCTAGTGTTACATTGCTAAATTAGGGACGGCTAGCGCAGATAACCCTCGTGTAGCTTTGCGCGAAATTCAAAAAACAAACAAACAAACTAGTCTCGTGCACAGCTAATTTGGACAAACCTAAAACGTACGGGCTCCATCAGATGATGCAATGAAACGATGACGTATGCCATTCAAAGACGCAAGATGTGTGCATCCTAAAATGAACACTGGACCACTGAACTTGAATCAGGCAAAGTTACCTCAGTAACTGAGGCGTTTTAATGCAGTCTGGGAAAGTTTGTGAAAAAGTGGCTCTGTCAAACTGGATATATCAAGGGCTAAGATTTTAAAAGACACACCTGAATTTTCGAAAAGGACTATAGAACTAAATTAATGACGAGTAGTTTGTCATGTTTATTGAATCAATGAATCATGAAGATACACTCTTCAACTGCATTATCATGTCCTATGAGACAACATTCCATCTGTGTAGAATGGTCACCTGACGTAATTATTGGAACATAGGAGAACCATCCTCTTTTCTTCCAAAAAGTGTTTTACCAATTTTAAACACTTTTTTCAATATTTAATTATTTTTCCACGTCTTGCGGTCTTTCCTACTGTGTTTTTTCTAAGAGAAAACACCTCTGGATTCATTTTCATGGCAAACGTTTTATTCTCTTAGTTGAAAGCTGATGGTATTATTGGCACATCTTTCTTCTAGTAAGATAATATGTTTTATGTCTGAAGCACTTGTCAATTTCCTACCAAACTGCTGGATTGGTTGTGTTGGACTGTTACCCTCGGCAATGCGTTCTTACTCATTTCCTGTCCTTAAGTTGTCCAGGGAATTCTCTTCAAGTAGATGATCAAGGCAATCTACTTGTGGTTCCATCCATTATGGTCTTCTGGAAGTGGTTTAAGACAGGATCCTTGGGGTCTTCAGTAGATTGGATTACTTCTAAAAAGCCTTCTCTGAAGCTAACCAGTTGGTCAATCTCCCGTAGATGTACCTCCAAAGACTATTATGGCGGATAACCTTCGGTTTAGACCACCTGTCTTTCTTGCTGCTATAAACCACATCATTGACTCATTAACAAAGCATAGGGTCCTTCCTGGCATCTACTCAAGCTTGGAGATTGCCCATGTCACCAAATGAAATCCAGTGTTATCAGCATTTACATTATGTGTTCTTCCTCAATTTTGATTATCCACACACAATGTTGAGTAGAGAGGCTTCTCACTATGAAAGTGACTTCTAACTTTCCTCTTGCTGGAAATTTATATGACCACTTGCTTTTCACATCAATTCATCTTTTTATTACATCTCTGTAGGCCCTTTCCCAGCTTTCATTACCAGAGCAGATTAAACAAGATAACTGTAGAACCAGTATCGATCAACATGTTGGAAGGCTTCCCATCAATGAACCCTTTGACTCATGAATTCGTTTCTTTAAGTAATGCACTCCTTAACTCAACTGAAGCTATTGGAATATTCTCAGTTTCAAGATATTGTAATGTCCATGTTTTCCACACTTATAGCAGTTTCCTATCCCTGTCATTCTTTAGAAGCAGCTTCAATTTCCTAAAGACTGAAAATATGTCCGTTTAAGTAGTACTTGAAGCACCTTCTGTCCTGAGGTTTACTTCTTTTATTCTGAATAAGCTGTTAAGTAATTAAAATGAGCTTGTTTCCAGATCCTGATAATATGCTCTTTTAAGTTACAATTGAAACACATTCTTTCCAGGGGTTTACTTCTTCCATTCTGTGTAACCAGTTGTCTAATTAATTCTTTGAATTGTTCTAGACCTCCGTCAGATATTGTTGATGTCTCTACACTATTGGAGCTGATAATTTTATAATTTTTGAATGGTGTCTTTAGTTATTTTATGCGATTTTGAATAATACAAGTTCCCTTGCCAACTGTACAGCTTCCCTTAAAGATTTACACCTAGCTTGTTTTAGTCTAATTCGTATATTTTCGTATACTATGGCATATATGAATTGATCACATTCCAGCAAGTTCGGCTAAAGTTTTATATTCATAAACTTTGCTTTAGAAATATCCTTCTGATGTGACTCCACAAATCTTTCTGAAAAGGTAGCTACTAATGCATTGTAGTTGTTATGGTTCTATGTAGGAAGATTGCTAAATATTATTATCAGGTTTTATAGAGCCAGATTTTTTACAGTAGGTGTCTGTGACTTGTTGGCGATATATTTCAACAATAAATGGACAGCACACAATCCACTTGTTTTAAAATAATATATTCAAAACAAGTCAAACGTATGTACAAAAATTCGTTACACTATTGGTTATCATAATTGTATCCAGAGCTTTAAATAATTATGTCTTTTTTTTTGCCAAAGTTCACACAGGTGAGTTTAATTACTGTAGAACACCCTTTGACAAGACAAATTATTCTCCTCTAACACAACCTAGATCTATTTGACTATATCTCTCACTAACATTGTCTTTCACTTTCACTAACTTAACTTGTACTAACTTGGTCACCTATATATATATATATATCCGACTGAGGCCTAGAACGTTTTACAAACTACGAGACGTTATGATGTAGCAATACAACGAGAGAAATTTAGAAGATTCAAGTAATATTACGTCAATTCAAAACAACTGAACTAAGCAGCAAATATTCGTAAACAGTTACATAAGCAAACTTGCCATAACTATCACTTCTAAAAATATCTTACTATAACGCTCGCACAATAATAATCTCATATTAAACTCAAAATGAACAGTCGTCTATATCTAACAGTTATTAAAGCTGATCCTTTTTAAATGTGCATCAAGATAAATAGCTTGATTTTAACTACTCCATTCTTCCATTATTTCGAACTGCCTGATATGTTTGCCATGGCACCTTCCATTATAACAGTTTTTGATTGACTGACGTTGTTGAAATGGCGTGCTAAATTTCATTACTTGATGAAGTAATGGAGTTATGGCAGTAGTCCAAAATCTTCTGCCATCATAGGTATTATAACATTAGTAGTAACAGGTGTAAACCAGAAAAGTTATCCTATTCTGTAGTTACCAATGTTTAAAGTTGAAATTCTAGATGTTTTATTCTGGTTATTTTGTATCACATTGATTTTGTTGTTATAACGTTTCTATACATTTCTTATGTGATTTTAAACTTCAGCGGGTACATTTTCTATGGCTTTTTTATTTTGTCTTGGATCAAATTAATATTTTTTCTTAAGTCTTTTGTAAGTCGTATGTCTCGTTCTTGTAACTCCCCTCTGCGTCTTTCTTCTTGATAATTTTTCTATTTTTCTCTTTGATCTTCTTACCTCTGATTCATTCATCACTTCCACAAGTTCCAAGAAACTTTCACTCTCACTTGAACTGAAGAACGTGTCATCATCTTGAAGTTCAACCTGGGTTCTATTGTATTTTCACCAAAATAATTCCATTTTTGACAGCAGTGTTTTAACAGGTTCTATTGTTGAGTAAGTTATTTTGAATTATTCGTTTAAAAAAAAACAAAGTCAGTCCACTTCATGATAATGAATGCGTTTTACTTCTACTACAACGTATTTGGTTAACATAACTAACGCTTACTCATACTGATAAGTCTAAGTTCACATTTGATGAACACAACAATTAACTTGCTAATTTTCTCATACTCAAAGTACTTCTCGTATTTCTAGCACTTCAATGAAATATAAATTCAATATTCAAAAATTGAGCTAACTATCTAATTGCCTGACAGTAACATAAAAACTAATAAATTGGATACTTGAATGACCTCTCTTTCTCTGCTCCAGCCTAACTCACGTTTTATACTGCTCGAATCGTTTCCT